TACTGACTTCTACTAGCCTCGGGCGAGCGTTAGTTTCAAGCCCTGCAATGTGTACCCGTGACCGTGAAACCCAGCTGATGAATACATTATAAATGAATCCCTACCGATGAAGCCCTTCTTGGCGAGCTCGATCGTGAAGCGACGCGTGATCTTCTCTAGCTCGTCCTCGCTGTATTTCTTCGGGTCGATGCGAACTCCGGCCTTCGCTCCGCCGAACGGGACGTCGACGACGGCGCACTTGTACGTCATGAGCGCAGCCAGGGCGCGCACCTCTCCCTCGTGCACGTCCGCGCTGAACCTGACACCTGGTGGACGACAACGGAACCGCGCGCGTGAGTCACGCCGTGTTTGCCGCCGTCGCGAAATTACGTGTTTATGTTTATGTCGCTGGGGCAGCGTTCACGTAACAAGAGATCGGAGAATTCAAGTATCCAATGTTGAGAGCAGGTTTTTACACGTTGAGTAAGATTATACTAGCGCGGCCGGAGTATGACACGTATCCGTTGTGATACGTGGCTAACCAACTGGCACGAACGCGCTCTCTAATATAGTGGTGTGACTGCGTGACTCATAGAACATAGGGCGTAGCCAAAGTATGTCATACCCATAGCATACGGACTGTGTGTTATATTTATTACCTGTGCTGAGTGCCATGACATTTGTCAGTGTCTTACCTACGCTCTAGCAATAAGAGCCTTCGTATGCCACAGCTAACCTGTGGGGCTATACAAAAGACGACCCCAAGCCTAATTTAGCACAACTGGATTAATAGTTAAGCACAAGGCACTTGTAACGTCTCTAATAAAAAAGAAGGATAATTAACGAAATGTATGTCCTACAGTCCTTAATGTTTTCTACTTATTTCGCCTTATATTTGCGGCTAATGACCGTAAATGCGTCAATGCTATTGCTAACACACAAGTCACGGCATGGCACCGCTCTGTGCCACAACCACATGAAATGTATGAATAAGAGAGCATGAAATTAATATATAATGAAATATATAATATAATAATAATATGAATATTAGATAAATGTAGTTGAATGATAATCTCTTATTCATGTTGTTTGTGCAAGGGGGCGTGCGGATGTAAGTTGTGTGTGGCCGATCGGGATTCTGGACGCGGCCATTTAGGTAATTATCGCATAATAGGAGACTTTTTTATTTTTATTGAGACGTTCCAAGATGCTGGGGTTTAGCACATGTGCGATTCCACCATTTGGCGGCGGTCGAAATCCTTGATCGAAAAGGAGAGTGGCAGAGTTGATCCGATCGTAGATAACATGCAGAATGGCTATGGAAAGTGTATTGTAAGAATTATATATGTACCACAGAGGTGGTCCTCATTAGAGCAGATGGGATCGTTGTGTATCAGGTACTAAGATATGTACCGAGGTAGTTTTAGGTTGTTTAGTATTATGTTTTATATTTTTATATGAGGTATCTTATGGGTTAGGGTTCATGGTTGGGTACAATTCTCTAGTACAAGTCTGGTAAGCACTTTGTGTATGACATGTAATGTACTGGGTATATCTGTAGTACTGATAGACACGCCCCTATAGCCGGAGTAGCTTGCCAGGCGGGTATAGTGTAGAGCTAGCGCTAACGTGTGCGGTTACATTATTGGGCTGTCGAGTATAATACTGTCACCACGGTCATTGAATCTAGCCATTACATTTACAGTATGCTGAGTGGTATTCGACTGACGGGGTTCGTTCCCCGGCTGCTGGGAGCACACCTGCGCGCGGCGGCGCTGGCTCCGACGTGTGTGAGAGGGACGCAGCAGGCCACGCCGGCAGGAGGCGACGACGTCAGCTTCTACAAGATGGTCGACATGTTCTACGACAAGGCGGCGGCTCTCCTGGAGGACCAGCTGGTGGACAAGGTTTCCCGTCGCGCGTCCTGTCGAGGAGAAAGCGGAGCGCGTGCAGGGGATCTCTGGCGTACGATACGCGTGTAACCACAGTCTCCATCTCGTTCCCGATCAGGCGTGACGACGGGCGCATTGAGATGGTCGATGCGTGGCGGGCGCAGCACAGCCAACATCGCACGCCCTGCAAGGGAGGTGGTATTACAGGTGATAAGATAGAAGGAGGTGTGTATTTACAGGTGAACGATAGAGGGAGGTGGGTATACAGGTTGTAACGATAGAGCGAGGTGCGTATTACAGTGTCACGATAGAAGGGAGGTGCGGATTAACAGGTGTATGATAGAAGGAGGTGGTATACAGGTGTACACGATAGAAGGGAGGTGTGTATAGAGGTGTAGGATAGAAAGGGAGGTAACGTTATTACAGGTGTAACGATAGAAGGAGGTGCGTATTACAGGTTAACGATAGAAGGGAGGTGCGTATTTGACAGGTGTAACGATAGAAGGGAGGTGTGTATTACAGGTGTAAGATAGAAGTGGAGGTTCGTATTAAGTTAACGATAGAAGGGAGGTGTGTATTAGCAGGTGTAACGATAGAAGGGAGGTGCTATTGACAGGTGTAACGCATAAGAAGGGAGGTGTTGTATTAGAAGGTGTACGCTGAGAATGGGAGGTACGTATTCGGTGTAACGATAGAAGGAGGTGCGTATTACAGGTGTACGATATGAAGGAGGTGTTGTATTAGAGGGTGTAAACGATAGGAAAGAGGGAGGTTGTATTACAGGTGTAACGATAGAGGGAGGTGTGTATTACAGGTGTAACAGATAGAAGGAGTGCGATTGACAGGTGGTAACGATAGAAGGGAGGTCGTATTAAGGTGAATGATAGAAGGGAGGTGCGTATACAGGTGTAACGATAGAAGGGAGGGTGTATTAAAGGTGTAACGATAGAAGGGAGGTGCGTATTCAGGTGTAAGATGCAAGGGATGGTGTGTTTCAGGTGTAACGATGAAGGCGGTGCGTATAGAAAGGTGTACGATAAAGGGAGGTGGCGTATTACAGGTGAACGATAGAGGTTAGTGCGTATTACGGTGTAACATAGAAGGGAGGTGAGTATTACAGGGTAAACGATAGGAAGGGAGGCTGAGTATTACAGGTGTAAGGATCGAAGGGAGGTAGGCGTATTACAGGTGTTAAGATAGAAGAGGTGCGTAATTAAGGTGTAACGAAGAAGGGAGCGTGCGTTATTACAGGTGTAACGATAGAAGGGAGCTACGTATTCTATCTAACACCTGAACNTCGTTACACCTGTAATACGCACCTCCCTTCTATCGTTACACCTCTAATACGCACCTCCCTTGTATCGTTACACCTCTAATACACACCTCCCTTCTATCGTTACACCTGTAATACGCACCTCCCTTCTATCGTTACACCTGTAATACACACCTCCCTTCTATCGTTACACCTGTAATACGCACCTCCTTTGTATCGTTACACTCTAATACGCACCTCCCTTGTATCTTTCTATCGTTAACACCTCTAAATACACACCTCTTCTATCGTAACCTGTATACGCACCTCCCTCTATATTACATGTGAATACGCACCTTCCGCTCTACTATCGTTTACACTGGTAATACGCCCTCCCTTCTATCGTTACACTGGTAATACGCCCACCTCCTTCTATCGTGTACAACCTGTAATACAATCGCCTTCTATCGTGACACGGTACATACGCACTCCCTTGCAGTGGGCGTGCGATGTTGGCTGTGCTGCCGCCCGCACGCATCAGACCATCTCCAATGCAGCCCGTCGTCACGCCTGCATCGGAACGAGATGGACGGATGGGCGTTTGGACACGGCTTTGATCGGTGCAGGGATCCCCTGAGCGCTTTCCGCTTTCCTCCCCGCGACAGCCTGTAGGGCGCACGCGGGAAACTGTCCACCAGCCTTGGATCTCCAGGGAGGCGCCGCCGGGCCTTGTGCTTTAGAACGGTCGCACATGTTGGTGTAGGAGAGCTGACGTCGTCGACGTCTGCGCGGACGCGTAGGCTGCTGGTCCCTTTCACCACACTGTCGGAAGGTTAGCGCCGCAGGCGCGAGTGTGCTTCTCAGCAGCCGGGGGACGAACCCCGGTCAGTCGAATAGCCATAGCCATACTGTGAGAAATCGTAATGCTAGAGTTTTTCAGATGTACTGTGGTGACAGGTATTCTACTCGACAGCGAATTAATGTACAGACAGGGGCTTATGGGTAGCTCTAGCGATAGTAGCCCGCCCTGGCTATAGCTACTCGGGCATAATGGGGTCAGTTGGTCGTATCAGTTACTAACAGGATATGTACGGAGGTAATACAGTTGGTTACACAAAGTGCTAACCCCCCCCCCCCCCCCCCCCCCCCCCCCCCCCCCCCCTCCCCCCCCCCCCCCCCCCCCGCCCCCCCCCCCCCCCCCCCCCCCCCCCCCCCCCCCCCCCCCCCCCCTCCCCCCCCCCCTGACTTGTACTAAGAGAATTGTACCTACCTAACCTAACCCTAAGCATACTATATAAAAATATAAACTGAATTTTACTAAACAACCTAAACTACCTGCGGGTAATACTTGTAGTACCTGATACGACAACACCGCATCATGCCTTAAGTGTAGGGATAAACCCACTCTGTTGCGCCGTTACATTAATCATAAATTGTTTACATACACTTTTCTACGCAATCGCCAGCTCGTCTGCTCTATCGATCTGATCACTCTGCACATCTCTGGTGTTCGGGATCAAGGAGTTTGGGACCGCACAATGTGTGTGAATCGAATGTGCTAAACCAGGCACTATGGAACGTCTCAATAAAAATAAATATCTTCCTATTATTGGCGAGAATTACCCGTTTAAATGCGGTCAATGCTTCATCTGCAACACAAGTAACACGCACAGCACGGCCCTGTGCAACGAACAAGTGAATAAAGAGAGTTATGAATTTTTTACGTTACATTAGTTATATTGATATTATATTAATATGATTATATTTCTATTATATAGTTTCATGCTTCTCTTGATCATCATTTCATCGTTGTTGTGCACGAGAGCGTCAGGCATGGTGTACTTGTGTTTGCAGTATGAGCATGTTGACGCATTTACTGGGTCAATTAGCGGCGAATAAATAGGCGAAATAGAGTAGAGAAACATAAGCTGGTAGAAATACATTTCGTGTTTATTTACCCTTTTTTTTTATTGAGACGTTCCAAGTACCTGTGTGCTAAACTATTAATCCAGGGTGCTAAATTAGGCTTGGGTCGTCTTCGATATAGTCCCCACAGGCAGCCTGTGGCAGAGCGAAGGGCTATAGTTCTAGAGCTAGGGTAGACAATGACAAAGGTCATGACTCATGCACAGGTAATAAGGATAATGACATAGCCGGTATGCCTATGGGTATGGCCAATTAAGCTTTGGCTATGCCCTATGTCTATGAGTCACGGAGTCACACACTATGAGTCAGAGAGCGCTTTCGTGGCCCAGTGGTTAGGCCACGTATACGAATGAATACGTGTATACGTTCCCGGCCGGGGCAGTAAATTTTCTCAAGGTGTAAAAACCTGGCTCTCAACATTGGAGACTGTGAATCTCCCGTGGCTCGGATGACCACGTAAAATGGCGGTCCCGTCTCCAGTAATATTAATAGTACTAATACCAAGGCCAATAAGGACGTAAAAGAACCACTGAGGGCGCAAAAAAAAACTCTGGCTGTGACCACCCTCAGTGACATTCGGCTAAAAGGCTAACTACCTGGCTTTACCCAAGCTAGGTCACACCCCATGGCTAGCTATGCTCATAGGGTCTAGATGTCCCCCAGGGTACTGCCGGAACGTACCATGGGTACGGTCCGGTATACCGGAATGTACCCTGGTCACTATTTGATATGGTTAGGGTTAGGATTAGGGTTAGCTTTAGGGTTAGGATTAGGGTTAGCTTTAGGGTTAGGGTTAGGGTTAGGGAGTAGGCGACTCCCTAGACTCGTTAGTGGAGTAGGCGAGGTACGGTCCGGCATATTAGGTAGTACCAGGGTATGTTCCGGTATACCGGACCGTACCCAGGGTACGTTCCGGCAGTACCCTGGGGGACATAGACCCTCTCAGCGCTAGCTATAGCCCTAGAGTCTAGACGTTTATTCCCTAGGGCTACGGACTGTCCACAGTCCAGTAGTATAGAAGTAGAACTTGAAGTCATCATCTCGGTTCAAGGATAGAGAACATGTATCCCAATAAAACCAATGTCATTTACATCAATATAAATATAATATTATATCAATATAATAGGTTAGGGTTATGGTTAGGGTTAGGATTAGGGTTAGGGTTAGGGTTAGGGTTAGAATTAGGGTTAGGGTTAGGGTTAGGCACATTGGTTTTATTGGGATACATGTTCTCTATCCTTGGGCCGTTAGTCAGAAATAGCTAAACGAGCCAGGTCAAACAGAGGTCAGGGAGACATACACCGGATACACGGGCAGAAATCACATCATTGACATTGTGTATGAGCCACCTAAATGAGCGTCTGCCACGCCAATAACGTAAACAATGGTAAAGGTATCTGTGGTAATAATATTATGACATTCGTGACATATACGACATTAATTGATTAAATAGGATATAATAACGATATAAATATTTTCTAATAAATAACCTGGTTGCTGCCCAATGACGTTCCTTGGATAGAACGAGTCACGTGATTTTCATATCACCGAATCAAAATCCCCTTTTCCCAAACTAAAGAAAAGGCGACACTTTAATTTATTTTCAAAATATAAACAGTCATTTACGGTTTTAATCGTGAAAATACTTAATCTAGTCGTTATTTTTATTTATTTATTTTAATAATATTATTAACTGCTAGTTCCTTGCAATACTAAAGTCTTAGATGCTTGCTTGTTGTGAATAGTTAAGACATTGTACCGTCGTTGCTGATTGGTTAAAAATTTAAATGTTCCGTATATTGAGTCTCGCTATTGGCCGCTTCGAACGTCCAGGCGGTAAAACTGAAACAAGGACGGCTAACCAAAAATTCTCCACCAGTGCCACCAATTTCTCAAAGTCTTCTTCTAACAGGCTCTAACGGGAGCTTATGATAGTACAAGTAAGTTTATTTTAATCATGACGTAAAGATGAATTTGATCTGACTCTTGAATTATACTGTCTATCTCGTTATTGTGTCACGTGTGTTGGGTCAAGTGTAACTGTAAACTTCTGAAGTAAAATTAGGGGCCCCAGCTACAATTTCTACCGCAGCCTGCAGGTTAGTATTTTGAACCGTTGAACCGTATTTTGAATCGTGTATTTTTAGTGGCAACTGGTCTGTTCTCATATATATTATATTCTTTTTGGAACTACCTGACTTGAGCATTGTAAAGTGTTAAGATATATGCTCGGCCTCAACTTCAATGCCTCATCGTCATGTATTTTCATGATCATGTTATAATTATAAAATTATATCCTGTTCTAACTTTTTTTCTTAGTAACTTAGTTTACTGATTATACTTCTCTGATCTTCAGAATGGAAGACTATGTAAAGATAGAAAAGATTGGGGAGGGGACATACGGTGTTGTATACAAAGGCCGCAACAAAAAGACCGGACTGATGGTGGCACTAAAGAAAATTCGTCTAGAGAGCGAGGAGGAGGGTGTTCCATCGACAGCAATCCGGGAAATCTCCCTTCTAAAGGAACTTGTGCATCCCAACATCGTCGCGTAAGAATGATCGCGAGTTAATAATTGTTCTATTCGCAAGCAATGCAGCATATACTTTCATGTGGCTGCAAGTCTTAGCACAATTTTATTTTACTATCGCAGTGGCTACGCGTCCGGACACATACACAGTGGATCGCGTCGGACTCTGCGTACACACATGATTCCGCAACGGATGCTCTGCTGTACCGCTCTATCCTTACATCCGTCCTCTCTCGCTTCTCTCACACAACACACGCCGCAGCTACTCTCATCTCTGCTCTCTCCACCGCAACACACACACATACACATTCCATTCCCTTCTCTCTCATCTCTCTCTCTCTCTCCTCTCGGGGGAACGGGGGCGGATACACAGGCGAGGGGCGAGGGGCATACACCAGTCCCATTTCCCTCTCTCTCTCTCTCTCTCTTCTCTCGTTCCACACCACACACACACACACACACACACACACACACACACACACACACACACACACACACACACACACACAGCAATCAGCAGAGCGTCCCATTGCGCAAGCTCACTGTGTGAGATGGATGTCTGGACGCGTAGCCTAGCGGCTCCTCGTCCGGAACCAGTCGCGTAGCCACGGCCTTTAATATAGGTATCCTTTTATAAGGTGAATTATGCAATTGTCATGTGAAATATATTCACTCGGTCTAGTCGCTCAACATTTTCTTGTGCAAACACTTGCAGGCTTCAGGACGTCTTGATGCAAGAGAATAAACTGTATCTGGTGTTTGAGTTTCTCTCCATGGATCTGAAGAGATACATGGATTCCATTCCCAGTGGACAGCTCATGGAACCAAGCCTTGTGAAGGTAAAAACTTGTATTGGGTGCCGAGGGGCTGTATGTATAAAGACAAGTTGGTTCACACAGACGCTTGCCGATCATGTCTGAGTCTGGGGGACCTTCTGTTTTTAGTTCTGACTGAATTGTGACCAACAGTGATAACCTATTATTATTATTATTAAATATTTATTGCACGTAATTCAAATACAAGTACATGTACTGAAGACAGTCTTTTTCATGGAGAAAAAATCTGATAAATGCAATCAATAAAAAGGGAGTCTAGCAGCAATGCACCTCCATCGACTTATCCCTATTGACTTGAGAGTTAAAAAATAATCTGAAATATAGTCCGCTGAGCCATTCTGCATAGATCACGGTTATCAATCGACGTCTAGACTTACTCTACGCGTGTTTGCCTTCTCCAGGGTGCAAAATTAATGCGAGTCCGGAGTCAAATACTCCCTGATTTACTGTCGGACTCCCTGATTTGACATAAGCAGGAGTCTGCGTGACTCCCTGAAAATTCTGCCATACTAACTAGTTCGTTTCAGAGCACGGCCTCACGGAATTACTGTATTTTTTCAGCAAATGTCCAAAGAAAATTTGGCAGACGTGCAACCGCATGAATCTTCAAAATAAGCACATGCGTTATTGTTAATATCTTTATTTTTGAACTTCAGACCGTGGACTCCCTCATTTTTCTGAGGACTCCCCCTTTCTGAGGCCAGGAACTCCGTTAGACCTTGTTCAAAAGTTAATTTCTACCCCTGCTTCTCTCTCGCAGAGCTACCTGTATCAGATCACGCAGGCGCTGCTGTTCTGCCACCAGCGACGCGTTCTCCATCGCGACATGAAGCCACAGAACCTCCTCATCGACAACAAAGGCGTCATCAAGCTCGCCGACTTCGGTCTCGGACGCACGTTCGGCATTCCCGTCCGCGTGTACACCCACGAGGTGAGTCGCCGCGCGGCGTGACGTCACCGTGACGATCGCCGACGATTTACGTCACTGTGACGTCACCGTGACGATCGCCGACGATTTACGTCAGCGTATCGGCATGTGCGCAACTTATCCATAGATCTGTTGCCTTTGTCAGCGAATAGATGCCGCATGGTGTATCGTGTACATACAGTCAGTACGACCTGTAAGGCACCTACCACATCTTGTTCTCTTATGATATTTTATATGCACTAAGTAGTATATCACTTGACTTTTATCGATTGAGTGGAGAAAGACTCTAAACGTGGTTATAGATTAGGATTAGATTAGGGTTATGAATTATGATTATTGTTCTGGTCAAGTTTGGATCTGCCTGTTAGAGAGTCTATATTCTACCCCTAGTTAATCACACTCACAGCCTATAGATCGACACTCGTGTTTCGTCATGTATTACAGTGAAAAATATACACGGGGGCTCGGGGCGATTTAGCCCCCGAAATGCAAAAAGAGCCCCCGTAAATTTGCATAGAGTTCAATGCAAACCAAATTTTAGAGTGCTATTTTCATGCACACGAGCTTGAAAAGTAGCCCCCGAAAAATAAATGTAAATTTTTTCCCTGATGTATTATAGTAATCGTGTTCTTCATGGTGGCAGGTTGTGACGCTGTGGTACAGAGCTCCTGAGGTGCTGCTAGGATCTAGCCGATACTCTACTCCCGTCGACATCTGGTCGATCGGCACGATATTCGCGGAGATGGTCAACAAGCGCCCTCTATTCCACGGCGACTCCGAGATCGACCAGTTATTCCGCATTTTCAGGTCAGTGGTCCTTCGTTGTTTGCGCGTTCTTCGATCCCTACGATAGCGAGAGACACGTAAACTCAGCGGTCGAGGGGCTTCTTCTGGTTCTAACCTGGTTCTGATTTCTACTCGACCGTGAAGTTCAAACGTACTGCTAAATTGTTTCGCGTCATAACAGGATGCTTTTTCGAAGCTGACTGACGTTAGCTCTATTATCAACCAACCGAATGAACTTATTTAAGGTTTCTAGTTCACGCGGGCGGATCGAAAATTTTTGCACGTAGACGGGCGAGTATCGAGCATTCACGGTCAATCTGACGAAACAATAAGTGATATTGGAAAGTCCTGCTGTGTTATTTAGGTCATAGAAAAAGTGGGATAAAATAGGCGCGACACACTACGGAAAGTACATGATTAATGTAAACGCTCGCGCGTTTTTAGTTTTTGCATTAACACAAACATTGCAAAATATCCCAAATGACCACAATCATAATTTGTAAATGTTTCTGTAATCAGAAACGCACCTGTGAATTGAAGTACGATGTTAGTGAAGAGAATTATAGATCAAAAACCTAGACTAGTACTATCGAAATATGTTATATATAGGCAACTTATCACCCCTCTTATCTGATCTCAATATGGCGGCGGGGACTTTCCGATATGGCATATAGCGAGTGTTCAGCGTTAAAGTGATTACGTCACTGACTCACTGTAAATAGTAAAAAATATAAAAAATATTTCCACTTTTTCACAAAATATAAGTAATTCTGTTCACTTTTTATGGTTAAATTGCTGCATTATACTTCTTATTTTACTATATTATTCGATGTAAACATACACTCGTGACGGTCAATCTGACGAAACAATAAGTGATATTGGAAAGTCCAGATGTGTTATTTAGGTCATCATAGAAAAAGGGGGATAAAATAGGCGCGGTGCGCTACGGAAAGTACATGATTAATGTAAACGCTCGTGCGTTTTTAGTTTTTGCATTAACACAAACATTCGTGATGCATACATAGCCCCTAGCAAGCAATTAATGTCAGGAACACTAATATCAAATCGGCCAGGTTTTTTGGATTTTTAACTAGTTGAGAAACAATCTTACCAGGTAAGAATTTGACGATACGTTTAGTCCCGTTAGTTCTTACTTTTAATGTAAAAAAAATGGCAACAAAAATTTTACACATTTTACCATAGAAAATTCGCGACGTAGTCGATTTAAACTGATGAAACATTCGCGCGTTTCTTGCAGGACGCTGGGTACTCCGACCGAGGAGACGTGGCCGGGGGTGACCCAGCTTCCCGACTACAAGCCGGCCTTCCCCTGCTGGTCACAGAACACCCTCGCCTCCAGCATGAAGAACCTCAGTGCAGACGGACTCGACGTTCTCCAGGTAACCGCGCGTCCGGCGAAATTAACGCGAGTCCGGAGTCAAATACTGTATACGCCATATTTTTTGCGTACAGATATTTTCGCGAATTCAGACTTGACGGACAATTTCGCGAGTGGTTAATTTCGCGGTCGGGGAATTCCCGAATCGTTGACTGAAGAACGGCGTGTTGTTATTTTCGCGGTCGGGGACGCGTTCGAGAAATTCGCGAAAATTAAACCACCACGAGATATACAGCGTATATGGCAATCTATGCGAGCATATCTATGGCCTCGGTGCCATAACCGCACGCTAGCTTTCAGAATGCAATCTGTCTTGTCACTCACTCGTCATCATCTTGTCATTTGCAGCAAATGCTGGTCTACGAACCGCGAGGACGCATCAACGCAAAGGCCATCCTCAAACATCCGTACTTTGACGACCTTGACAAATCTTCTCTACCAGCCTGTTGATGGCGCCGCCGTGCAGCGGTGGTGCCAGCGGAGCGGCATTGATGATCATCTGTGATTGCGCTGCCGTCGCCGTGGCGACGGAGCAGGGTGTGGGTGGGGAAGGGGGGGAGGGATGTCCACCGCGGGGCCATCGTCGCGTCATAAATCTTGAAAAATGAAATGACGTTTTGAAATTACTCGTGCGCTACTCGCATTGCGTGCGACTTTAGTGTCCGACTCGTTGGCGTGATTACCGCGATTTGTTTGTCGCGTATTTTTTTACGAGCGTGAACGTGTCCTGTCTATGTGGTGGTCTCGCTGTCATCAGCAATGCTTTCCCGTTAGATGCGCGCATGTACATACACAAAATCTAACACGCGGTTGCTATTATCTAAGTGGTTGTTGTCTATCCAGTGTACACCCAATTCATTCCAAGTTGTCACGTTATTGAGTCTGCGTCGGCGGGACTGAAGTGTAGAGTATCGTGTTGTTGCATTCAATCCTATTATATTATCCTACTTTCTGCTCTAAATATGACATTCCTTCTCGTCTTTTTTTTCCGAGTAGCCATATAAAAAAATATTCCTGTTTATCTTTTCTCTGTATACCCGTATGAAGAAAATATTCCCGTTGTCTTTAGTTTTGTAAACATTAGACCACGACTTGCATCCTTTCTGTTACATCTGATATGTGTAAGAAACAATATGTTCATCTCATGTCCAGCTGCTTGTGTATAGCCAAGGCATGTTTTTCTTGTATGTCATCAGATGTCAATTTTAATTACCAATTATTTAATTTTGGTCTCACTACTACACCATGTTGTAGTATTTTTAGTTTGTAATATATATATATTGGAAGTGCTACTGATATAACTTGGTAACTATGGTAACATTCTTACATACGATTAGGAGAAAAATTTTGTTCGGAAGACTTGAGAAGATAAGTTTCGTTATCAAATATAAATTGTAAAAATACTGTGTAACTAATTTTAGTCTGATAGTCTAGAGATACATATCAATGAATGGCAAATATATTAGCAGTAGTAGATAATAGGATATCGATATATCCTTTTATATGTTACTATTAACTACCCCCTGATATTATTAGCAGCAGTTTCTCTGTGATGCAGCTATGTACCGACTAGAACCATTCAATACATGTATATTCTTACTTATGTATATGAAATTGTTTACTTGTTTTGCATTGAACTTGCTATAATAATGAAATTTCACACACATCTGAATGTTCAACAAACAAATTTTTTTCGTTTTATAAACCCCATTAGGGTTCACTATTATTTATACATTACAGTGGGTTTCATATTATTCCATCAAATCATAATTGATAAACTGTAATGAGGTTGTATTTTTAAAAAGCCTGGCTGAAAGACACAGTACAAACGTTCGTGAATGAACTTTGGCATGACAATTTGCCAAACACTAGCACGTAGGCCCACAAGCTATTCATGACGTCAGCTATTTTAACTATGTCTCCGATAACCTGGTGCCACTGTCTACTATAACCTTCTGCTTTGTATTCTACACATACTCTTTAGAGATTACCTTGGCGTGTTGCAGTTAGATCTTCGACAAGCAAATTGCTTTCGTTATCTTGGCACAACCTGGCCAACTCGCCAGCTCCCCCTGTGGTGAACATTCACATCAGTTTGTGGCGGCCATCTTGCTTTCCTCCGCTCCCTCCTCCTCGCCGGCGTCAGCCTGTTTGTCTTTCTTGTTCGATTTTTTCGGAGCTTCGATGTAAGACTCGGTGTTAAGGTCGAAGTTTTCCTTGCCAGGAGGAACTGTTAATAGGCTCCTTGTGATGAACTTGTCTGAAACTAGACAGCCAAACACAAATCGCGATTATATTACATTGATTCATTGTTCTTCCCAAGGACATGGTGGAACGACTGAAGTGACATTTTATACATCAGCTGTCGATATAATAATCCCTAATATAATATAAATAACAATATAATATAAATAACAATAATATAATAATAATGCCGACCATTTCCAAAAATATATTTGGAATTTTATTTCTTAGCCAATTCTGAATACGTTAAATATCAAGAATCAAGTGCATTTCTAAGAAGCGGTACCTGATACTATTCAGCTAAATTTAGCGATCAGAAAAAAGTACGAGTTGAGTTAAATTTTGGTTGTTATCGCTGCACGCGAAAGCACACACGTTGGTCGTCTGCTTACACGCTCTATTCGGCTTGTGTGACATTGCTTGGTTGATCATGTTCTTTACATTTGCCTCCAGTTCTTCTGGATTCATATTCAGCTGAAACATAGAGACCAACAGACACTGACCGCAATTCCATTGCACTAATTTGATTTGCTTCTTCTATTCCTACTAAAAGCTAAATACTCCATTGGTTTGCTATGCCTAGTGGAGGTACAGAAAGAAGATTCAACATTTGGTCCAGTTAATTTGCCTCCCATACTAGGTCATATGGGGTGCAATAATAACAGTAATAATAATAACAATAATAACAATAACAATAATAACAATAATAACAATAATAATAATAACAGTTACCACAACAAATAAATTCCTTCCCGGACAGACGTAATGCAGTGACAACTGACTGTTTGTAGCGGTGCTAAGACTTACCCTTCCTACAGGCACAACTATGTTAGCATAACTATGGACTCCAGCTGGTTTCTCTGCCTGCATGGTGACACCGTTTAGATAGTTGTGGACCATTACCCCGACGTCAGATCCTAGTGAATCTATACAGAGGCACATGTTGATGCAGTGTTTTTTTTAGTGGATACATCAATTTTGTTACTGGAAACAGTTTACTGCTGTTACAATTATAATAACGATCTCCACTTTTTTATACAGCAGATGGCGCCACTATCCACTCACACCAATATATATACCACACCTTACCAAAAAAACACCAGTACATAGCAACGTATTGAATGCAGGGAATTCTGTGCAGCTAATTAAACAACCTTTACTTGCGAGTATCTTACCATTTCTAGTGTTCGGGAATTGCTTCCGCAAGTAACCTCTAATTACGATTAGGTCGGGGATAATGTCGTTGGAGGCAATGATCGTGTTGTAATCACCCTTGTCCAATTTTCCCTTCTCCAGCTACAACGACACAACACAGTCTATGTCATGAACACAACCACGGTTTCCGATACATAAGAGGCACAGTGGCGCACCGCTGTTGTCAAATTTAACATCGCCGTTGTGAAAATGGTTTCAGGGTGCCTCAAATGCAGTCTAAGACATTCAAATTTTTTAAATTTTGCTGGGGGAGACTCCCTAGAACCCCCACCAAGTGAGAGAAGGCGTTCCCCTTCTCCCCCGCGCGTCCGCCTGCAGCTTTTGCATGCGTGCCTACGGCACGCCTTTGAACCCATCATGCGTGTTTTTTTTCTTCCAAACTGGCCATTACCTCCTTTGTCTAATTTTCCCTCAGAAGAAACGCTGACACCCACATTGAACTAACAGCCATCAGATTGCAACTAGCATCTTACAGCAATGTAACCTTCATAGCTCTATAAGTCCGTTTTCAGGAAAATCAACAGTTAGGTCACTGCAAACAATCCCAAATTTTAAAGACTAGTCTCTATTCTAATAATAAACATGTCAAGATGTCAAAATTCAATCCAATATATAACAAATAATATGAATAGAAGTATATATTAAATGAATATTCAATTTCATGTTTAGACTCAATTCTAAAGATTGTCGTCATCAAGCGTGGCGCTCACTTGTTTTATGATCTCGGTTCCACCGACGAGGGTCGCCCCAAGGTCACGTGCTTTCGTCTGGTCAGCGAGCGACTTGCACAACACAAGGACAGTCTTCTCTTCCTTCACCTCAAAGTAGTTTGGCATCATCACCGTTCGCTTAAACGCGTCCAAGAACTTGTTCTACATGCGAAAACGCAACAGGTTACGCTGTGGACACACTAGTTAGCCGAGTTTGGCTGAGTCGGGCGACTATCTGTCGACACACTAGCCAATTTTTCATGCGATTGAGCCGCCCGGCTGAATGATGATGATAATCACACGATTGAAAATGGCACTGTTTGATTGGCTGATGAATTGTACATTCGGGCGCACGTAGTAGAGCATTGTATAGTATTGTGTTGTTGGGGCGCGCATTGTATATAGTCGCGCGACTCAAATAATTATCAAAACATGTTTGATTCGGGCGACTCAGCCGGCCGACTCAAATATCGACCGCGTCTCACTGGACACACTAGGCGATTTCAGCCGGGCGGCTCGACCGCATGAAAAATCACCTAGTGTGTCCACCCTTATACATTCGCCTCAGAGGAAAAGTCGTAAAGATATATTTATTTAACCAATATATTTTACAATATATATATTACTTCCAAGTTTCACACATGAGCTGGCACCGTTGCAACCACTACAGTTTACCCCGACTTCTCAAATTATGCACCCGCGTGGTCAAATATTGGCAAATACCCTGAAAGAGGACCTTAATCATGCAAATCCTGCCAATGCAATCCGTGTGCAGCAGTGACAATGAAGTCACTCACAAGTACTTGAGACTTTCACTAACCCTCCCTAGCGTGCGAGAGCGAGCAGGATTCGTGCCCCGAGATACTGTATACGCCATATTTTTCGCGTAGAGATATTTTCGCAAATTCAGACTTGACGTACAATTTCGCGAGTGGTTAATTTCAAGGTCGGTGAATTCCCGAATCGGTGAAGAACAGCGTGTTGTTATTTTCGCGTGTTGTTATTTTCGCCGTCGGGGACGCATTCGCGAAAAATCGCGAAAATTAAACCACCGCGAAATATACAGCATATATATATACAGTACCTTCTTCTCCATGCGCATGTCTAGGTGCAGCTTCAGGTAGAGGTATCCGTCCATGTTGTCGTACATCTCCGGAGCGTTAACGTCGGCGAGGCGAGCGACGGCGTCGGGGACGGACAGACGCGGGGGCGGGTAGAACGCGCGCAGGTACACGTCGTCAGTGGGGCGTCGCGCGAGCCACTCTGCCGTAGCCTGCGGACGCTCACCCATGAACGCCTCGTCCCTGAGAGGCAACACAGCAGCGATGAGTGTTTATTATTATTTGCGCAGTCGCTACGCATCAGGTCATCCATTAAAAAGCTCAGGACAGATTATACCAAATTCACGTCACGATTAGGCCATGCCCCTTTTCAAATTGTTGATTTTACTGGATTTACTATATCTTCAAAAGTAACAAAAACTAATTTTTCTGATAAAATACCTAAAGGTAAGTAATATTATGGTAAAAACTTATTGTTTATTGTTTTTTACTGAAAAAAATATAGTTGGGTTCACGTAAGAAATATATGACCGGACACGTAGCCTGGGAGCTGGTTTCTGCTTTGATCAACACGTCCGATCTGAGAGTTAGCCGTCGCTAAGAGACTTCTGTCAGTGATATCCTCACGCTGTTGAGGCTAGATTGCAGCCTACTTGTATAATAGGACAGAGCTTTATTTCACCATGGAACATTAGAGTAAATGTACATGCAGTGACTAGTAGCAGGACAAAGTCCCCACTTTCACTGCACATGCACATAAAATCGTTTTATATACGTGCAGTTTGAGTGTGTGGGTGAGGTGTGTGAACCTGATCCTGCGGCCATTGACTACACCTACTTCATTAATAAGCGCTTTGGTTTCCATTCTTTCTTTTCCTCAGTTTTCGCCATGGCGCGTTTCGCTTTCTGTACGGCCGCTCGCTTTCCCTTTCTAGCCGCATAGTTTCGTAGTTGGACAAACGATGTCCCTACACACGGACTTGTCTGTAGACGCAGGCGGGAGAGCTGGGCGAGAACAATTAAACCTGGAAAATAGTATCGACTGCGTGTGTTAAAATGGTATTATCATGCATTATGTCGAAGTGTCGCGCACACTACCATCGTGACCACAGGCACTTGGAACGTCTCAATAAAAAAAATTAATGGTGATTAAACACGAAATTTACCCAAGTCTTAATGTTTCTCTACTCTATTTCGCCTATAATCACTTGTAAATGCTGATCAAATGCTCATCTGCAACACACAAGTACACCGCACACCCGCCCGCCCTGTGCTGCGTGCACAAACAACATGAATAAGAGAGCAGGTAGAAAAGCGGGATCGAAAAATTCGTTCGACGCTCGCTTCATTTCACACGATCACAGAACGAAAACACATCCAACCGCTTCCATCTTGGTATCTATGTGTACATAAATGTTCACTTGTTTGAATTATAACTCTGGCCTTTGTTCTTACCTACTCCAGCCAGAGATATCTCGTGAAATCCTGCAGGAAATGTTCTCTCCGTGAAAATGTAAAGGGGACGAAATGACTGTTTATACACGAGTAATGGGGCGCATTGCATGCCGGGATGAGCTGCTGCCGGCCTCCGAGCTCCATTTCGAGGCCCGCCAACCCAAGCACAATGTGCGCGGGCATGACATATCACGCACACACGACTACAGCGATCGATCGAAAGTAGCGCCGTTAGGGATTTTCGGATGATACGTCCTCTTTACATTTTCACGGAGAGAACATTTCCTGCAGGATTTCACAAGATATCTCTGGCGGGAGTAGGTAAGAACAAAGGCCAGAGTTATAATTCGAACAAGTGAACATTTATGTACACATGTCATAGATACCAAGATGGAAGCGATATTGGATGTTTTCGTTCTGTGATCGTGTGAAATGAAGCGAGCATCGAACACATTTTTCGATCCCGCTTTCCTACCTGCTCTCTTGAGTCTTATTCATGTTGTTTGTGCACGCAGCACAAGGCGGGCGTGCGGTGTACTTGTGTGTTGCAGATGAGCACTTGACCGGCATTTACATGTGGTTATAGGCGAAATAGAGTAGAGAAACATTAAGACTTTGGTACATTTCGTGTTTATTTACCATTAATTTTGTTTATTGAGACGTTAATCCAAGTGCCTGTGATCGTGACCTAGCTCCAGGAAACGGTATTGCTAGGGTTAGAATACCGTTTCAGATTCTTGCCCACAATTCCTTGTAGTTGGCTCGGTATCCAACCATCGACACAGCTAGCGTCACATGTAATAGCTCAAACGAATCTATAAACCTCTGGCTTGCTCGCGGTAACTGGGCGCTACTGGGCGCTACTTATTTATTGAGTTATGCCGTTTTTCTGAAATGAATTGGATCAAAACAACCAGACAGCCGCCATGTCGGCCATGTTCAGTGCAACTAAAATCGGCAATGGACCTGATTTTCACAGTGCGTAGGCCAAATACAACGCAAGTACATATCTTCGCAATGATAATTATTAAGTTGTTGTAGATTGACGATTCCTGGTTTTCAATGTTTTAATATTTATATATATACGAGTATATGATGCTTTTTTATGCTCGTGCCAACGCAAGTAGCAACGCTATGGTATGTTATGTCGTTTCGGGTTTTCCGCGTGCCGTTCGAAAATCATGCGCATTGCAAACATGGCGGTTGGCGGTTAGTTGAAATTTATGTTTGGCTCTTGAAATTTACACTGTGCACAGCAAACTGAGGTATTAGTTTTAATAACAACGCTGGAATACTATAAGGTGAAGGTTATATTTGATACAAAACAAGGCAGAAATGCTTAAATGATCATTTTATTTGAGATATACGTAATTGTTCGGTAGTTTTTGTACAGCTACAAGATTTTCCAATGGATGGATGTCAGGCGGTGTATTGACGTTAGTCACACAGCCTGGTCGGGTTAATCGTGACCATGAATGAATTATGGCTGTTGCTCCTGCGACGGTACCGTCGCCGAATTTTTTTCTCTTCAACTCACGGTAGTGATGCCAGCGCCATCTATCGG